CCCCCGCGATGGTGCTCAGCACCCCCAACAGCATCTTCTCAGTAATTATCAACCACACAGATGAAAAGTTTCATACAGAATGTTAATAAGCAATGGAAATATCCAAAATTTTGAGTTACCCATCAAACCTACATAAAAAATACAAAATAATCCAGAGATCCCTGCACTCCTACACCAGCCCCCTCCACACTGGGAATTTTAAATGAGCTGAATTAATTTTCCACAGCTCTGTTACACCCCACATCTGCTAAGTTCATCACCAAAACTATATCATGTCAGCTGGGATATCGAGATACGCTTGTCATGATGGAGCAACAGAGATCACATTTGGCACTGTGACTTCCAAAGAGGAGGCTCAGATACTTCAGTGATGTTCACAAGAAATGATGTAAAATAGTGTTTGCTGTTAAAAAAATCCCACAGAACAGAGCAAAAGGAGCTGAAAACTTCAGCGGGTGGGATTTATTCTCGTTGCAAGTCACGATGCCCGGGATGAATCCAGGTACAGTCAGAGGCAGAGTTCACACACTGTGACTGTCTGTGCTACTGAGAACCCCAGGACTGGCCTGGCTGTGTTTGGGGGTGTTGCAGAGTCCCTGAGGAACACCTGGCCAAAGAACATGGCCTGAGACACTGAAGTGAAAGGCAAGGGAATGAACAAAAATGGGATTCTCTGGGGAACTGGGGGACTCAGAGGAATGCAGTAGGGCAGCCTGGAATTTGTTTCCACAGGACACAGTCCCTCAAGTATTCAGTGGAGGCAGCAACAGGCAGCATGACAGAGTTACCCTGGAAACTGCTCTGCCCAGCTCCTGCCCTCCCAGTGCCAACTGCGTCACCATGGAAACCCGTGTCACCGCAGATGTGGAACAAAGGATGGGAAACTGCAGCAAGAAGTCCCCTTCTCCCACTCTCCCTCTGCAGAAGACAGGCAAAGCATGCTTGGAACATGGAACAGAGAGGGGTTTGCCTGCCTTAAAGCCAGAAACCTGTTAGAAATATCTGCCCTGTAAGGCAGTTTGGTCTCTTGCCATCCCAGGGCATCACAAGGTGCTACAGCCTTGGTTTTATACACAAGGCCAGTCCTGCAAGGAAGTAAACTGGGACAGGAGATTTCTAGTTCCCTCCAGGAATACATACAAAAGGATCTGCAAATCCACCAAGAAGTAAATTGTATAAAGATCAGTCCCCTGATTAGGATTTTGGAGGAGTTTACCCTCCTGTGGTCCTGTAAATGTCACATGTGCTCCCATGGGGAGTAAGATCTGCTGTGTGCCCTCTAAACCTTTTTGGTTTAGGCAGATAAAAAGATCATCTATGGCTTCCCTAGATCAAACACTTAAAAGGCCCAGAATCCTCTTGCTTTAGAGACGAGCATGACATGAAGAAGTTGAGAAAGAAATTGTCCAATGAACACTTTATTCTATCCTTGTCCAGTAAAGGATTTTCACAGAGTTGCTGCTGGGCTCCCAGCCACTATCATGTGGGATACACTGGACATGTCTCCAACTGCATCCTGCTCCTAAGCTTTCACTAAAGTACCTCTCAGCTTCCATACTCCTCACAGAACTTCATATTCTGGCACTCAAGCTTCTGACAGAGACCATTGTTGCACTTCTGTAAGTCATGGTAACACCCATCTGAGCTAATTAAAGCACTTAATTAAGAGACGTTGAACCCACCTCACCTCCAGCTTCTGCTTGGTGTCAGCTCTTAGAAGGTGTCTCATGTCCTCACTGTAGATGTCCAGGTAGGAGGCAGGAAGCCTTCAGCTGGAAGCTGGCATTTTCAGCACACTGCACAGCACGGGGAGGATTTGGGGTGAGGCTGCAGAGCACAGGGAGCCTCTCCCGCAGCTGGGTGCTCACCACCCTTCAGCACCTCATCCAACCTCCCCTGGTAATTCATTCCAGGTGGAACCACTCAAACACGCACTGCAAGGGACTTTTGGTCCTTCCACACCTGAAGTCCACAAGATCATTTGGGATGAGGGTGCAGTTCATCTGACTGTGGACAGGCCTCAGCTGAAGGATGAGAAGCAGTGCACCCCAGACCTGTCCCCATTCACACTTCATGCCATCAGCACTCACTTCTTGGGACAGAAAGACCGAAGCCTTTCTAGCACTTACCCCTCACTGCGGGTACGCAGGGGAAGGACCCCCAGAGCCACGGAGGCTGGGGGAGAAAGGGAAAGTATGGAGAAAAAGAGCTGGGGAGGGAAGCAGGGAAAGGAGGAAGCTGGGAACAAGTCTGAGGGGGAACGTCGGGGACAGGAAACCTGAGGAGGGGGTTTGTGAGTGAGACCCTGAGAGGAAGGTGAAGGGCGCGAAACCCAAGGCTAAGAAACCCAGAGGTAACTTCAGGGAGCCGAGACACGGCCAAAAGGGTCTGAGCGAGGAAAAGCTGAGGTGACCCCGGCGGTGCCGCGCTGGCCGGAGGGCGCGCACGGAGCCCTGAGGGGACGCCACGGAGGCGGCCCCGCGCATGCGCGAGTGACCGCACGGGGTCGCCATAGCGACCGGGACCGCACCGGAACAGAGGCCCCGCCGCAGGCGGGCCGGGGCGCGCGCACGCGCGGAGGGGGCGCACGAGGGTGCGCGTGCATGGAGGGGTGCATGAGGGCACGGAGGGGTCATGGGGGCAAGGAGGGGTGCAGGAGGCTGTGGGTGTGTGATGGCACCGGGGCCCGGCTGTGCCCCTGCGTGTGGGAGCGAGGGTGAGTGAAGGCGCGCCTGTGCAGCCTCCTGTGAGCGCGAGTGCGCCGCTGCAGCAGCGCGTGAGGGTGCGGGAGCTGAGGCCGAGCGCGTGCTGCAGCCGTGTCAATGCACGAGTGTGCGGTGCATCGTGCAGGAGTGCGGGTTCACGGGGAGCGTGAGCACACGCGTGTGCGCAGCCAGCAGAGCCCTGCTCCGGGTACACGAGAGCCTTTATTGCGGGAGGCGCCGGGCAGGGGGGATAAGGCAGGCGGCAGCGAGTTAAAGCTGGGGGGTGCCGGGGGACAGCCGTGCACGGGGAGGGGCCCGGGCTACCCCCGCTCGTGCTGCGCCCCGGTGGGGGCGGCGGGGGCCCAGGCGGCCTCCCCCGCCCCGGCGCCGGCCTCGCTGCCGGGATCCCGCTCCTCATAGCCGGGGTTGCGTCGGCCGGGGGCCAGGCGGCAGAAGCAGCCCCCCGGTGGCCCGGAGTAGTGGGCCAGGAGAGCGGCCACGCTGGCGAACTCGGCGTTGGAGTGCTGCCGTCGGGAGAGAAGGGAGAGGTGAGCCCCCCATGCAGGCTGTGCCCACACACCCCTGCACCCCAGAACTGAATGCATGCAGCAAATCCGTGCGTGCCCGTGTGCCAGCACACCCACGCACCTCACACAGCCCTGGGATCTGCACCAGGTACCCACGGAGCCAAGCCACCCACGCAGCAGGGCACAGGTGAAGGCGTGAGTCCAACACAGCCGTGCATGCAGCGCACCCCTGAGCGGGACAGTGCACGTGCCAGATACACCCACAGATCAAAGGCACCCTGACCTGCCTGGTGGATCAAATGCACACCAGTGCACTTGTGCATCACGTACCTGTGATGCATTACTGCACCCAAAACTCACGCGTGTTACACGCTGAAGGGTGGATGCTCCAGTGCACCCACACCCAGCAGTACCTGTATGCCATGCTCAGATGCACCCATGGATCGATGTGCCCATGCACCCACACCCCTGTGTGCACCCACCTGCGCCTGAGCCCACCCTGGTGCATCCCTGCAGCCATGCACAAGCACACCAAAGTGCACTTACACGGCACATAAAGTGCATGCACACAGCAATGCCTCCCTGTCTTGATGCCCCAATGCGCCGGTGCATCAAGGTACAAATGCACTTACAGAGCACCCATGCATGGCTGGTCCAAACACACACAGAGTAAATGTGTGTACACACCAGTGCATCCATGTGTGGGCACACCAAATGCACTTCATCAGCACACCCATGCAGCAAGGCACAACACAGCAGCGCAGGGATGCACAGATGGAGCACATGCACTCACAACCCAGCCTCACCTCCACACAGAACCTGCCCTGGTGTGTCCTGACCAGGCCGTAGGACACGACGCCGCAGGGCGCCCGCACCCACAGGCACCAGCGCTTGGGCAGCCCGGGCTCGGGGCGCAGCAGGAAGGCACCGGGCACGTCCTGCCGCAGCAGCGCGACCCCAGCGGCCCTGGGGACGAGGCAGCGGTGGGGCCGTGGGTGCTGACAATTGGGTGCTCACACATACACACACACACACAGACACAGACACACAAACACACAAACACAACAACACCAAC